GAAACCCCTCTGGAGTTGAGTACTTGCAGGTGTTCATGGTGATCTAGAAGCGTTTTAAACAAATCGGAGCTCATCTCAACTCATTTACTCCAAATCTATGAGAAGACCCATCAAAAAGTTTGTTAGTTTAGTAATTATTTTGCTAGTGGCATGATTTGTTGTAATTGATAGGATTAGTTAGGCACTTGAGTTTATTTATTTAGATTATTAGAATATATCGAGTTAGTATATATTGTTACGTGATTATGTGTGCCGTGAGTTTTTATAGTTAGAAAATTAGATGGTTCATGGAGATTAGTTAGTGTTAGAGTTTTAATTATTATTTTGTAAATTTTAAGATTCTAAAATTCTAAATATATTATTTCCTTAGGATTAGTATTCTTTTTTCTCATAGGATAGTATTTTCTATTTTATAAATAAGCATATGTACTCATCTTGTTTATTATGTCTTGAGTTAATGAAAAACGACCATTGGTCACCAATTTCTTGTGCTAGAATTCTTAGAGTGTTCATCATAAGATTCTTGTGGCGAAAAGAGTGTTTCACTGCATGGTTCGTCATAAGCTCGGGTTTGGCAAGGATATCACATCCGAGTTGTCTCAAAATCATGAGAAAATAAGGAGAAATCTGTGTCACCCACAATCTATCGCCGAGAAGAAAGTCTGTCAAACAACTTTTAACGCAATCCAAGTTATCGAGATACAAAATCTTCATCATTGGTGTTTTCGTCAAGAGGTTAGTTGTGTATCTGCATAATTGCTGTGAGAGGGTGATTACCCAAAAAAAAAAAAAAGAGTATTGACGTGAGGCAGATAAAATAATAAAAAATAAAAATTAAAAAATTTGAACGAGTTTAGGTTGTATGAGGATCTGAATGAGCTTTTTTTTTTTAAAAAAAAACTTTACTTGTTTTGAGAGTTTACGTGAAGTCTGATCGCATACCAAAAAAATAAGAAAAAAAAAGTTTATATTATATTGAGGGTAGCGTTGCCTAGTTGTCGCATCCATTAAAAAAACAAATTAATTTATATGTGAGGGGGGTTTTTGCTGTGAGTGATTGCAACTTGAAAAAATATTTTTTTATATTTTTATTTTTTGAGAGTTGTGCGTGAGTTAAAAAGAAAAAAGAAAAAGGAAAAAACTTTGGTCTTTTGCCTCGAGAACGGAAAAAAAAAATTGTTGAGTGTGAATGAATGGAGGGGCAAGTATCAACCAAGTACGAAGATTCCATTTTCTTTGATACCGAGTTCGTTGATGAGCCGGTGTCAACTGAATACCAGGGTCCTATTGGGATGACGAGCTTACCAATTTTGAAGTCGAGGTCGAAAATGGCGAGCTCAAAAGTATTTTCGAGGGTGTTGAGGAGAAAGTGCATGAGCTGCATACTCCAATCCTTGAGGACAAGGATGTTCTCGAGGAGGGCGGGAATGATGCGAATGTACTTCTGGAACCAACAAGGTAGTGTACTAAGAATTACTATTGGATATCGTGGATGTTCTTCATGCCCAAGACATCTATAAGAATCTAGTTTTCGGATCATTAATTGAGTAAGACCGAATTTAGATTAGTTTGTGATCATCGAAAATATGTTATGTTGAAATATGATGTATTCTTAGCATAAGTAGACCTTAATAAAGTTTATTTTACAATTATTGCAAAAATTGTAAACTATTGGCTGGCGAAAAGATAAATAAGTTGGTCTATGAATGGTTTCCAAAATTCATTGAATAACAATATGGGTCTATGAAGGTTCTTCCGACTCTTTGTGATCATAAGCATTATGTAGATAATATGATGATCTTAGAATATAATCATGATGTGTTCATGAATACTAAGAAGATAAACTTTGACCTTAAATATTTGTGAAATTCTAATGCAATTTTGGAGATTAAGTTTCTAAGAGATTGGAACTAATTGTTTGACACAATCTCATCATGTCAAATTATGTTGAAGAGGTTGGATGTGTTCGATAAAACCTCAAGCTAAAGTGAATGTAAAATTGACTCTACACTTAGCTAAAAGTTTGAGAATAATTAGTTTCTCGGAAAAAAGTATGCTGAGTAATTTGAGGCTTGAGATACTTGTCGGATAGTTTCGCCCCCATGTTGTATTTTAGCGAGTAAAATAAGATATTCATGAGTAACTCGAGCGATAAATTTTGATCAGGATAAATAGAGTATTGGACATGAAAAACACTAAGACTAATAGTGACTACGTTATCACTTTAGGTGAGTAGAGTTGTGTCATGAAAATAATCTAAGTGCCAAGCAAGATCCACAATGGATTCCGAGGTTTAAAATTTGGACAAAAGGGTGGATGAAGCTAAATGACTTAGAAATTTTCTAAAAGATATTCCTTGGTGGTATAAATTTTGCTCATCATGTTGATTATTTGTGATAATCAATCAGTAATTTGAAGAGTGTAAAGTAGTTTGTACAATAGTAAGTCTAGACATAGACGTCGGAGACTTAATTTTAATAAAAAAATTATCTCGTGTGAGGGTTATATTGATTGACTATGTGAAGTCAAAGATTAACCTAATGGATCCATTTACATAAAGCATGAAATGAGATAAATTGTACAAACTGGTTATAGGAATGAGTCAAAAATCCACAACAAAAGAACGGTCTTAGCGGTAACCCCCAACCATGAGAATCAGGGATCCCAAAACCTTGGTTCAATGGGAAAACTAAATTTTGGCAGTTCAGTGAAACACTTGAAAAAATTATCGCTCATTTCTAGAACCGTCAAGTGTTAAAATCTGCCTAAGTGGTGAGGTTAAGTCGAGGACTTTTAATGATTTCTATACCTATGGGTGGAGTAAGGCAGGATACTCTTTATAGGAGAATCACATTTGTAAGTGAAAAGTAAATAGGCCGGTTCAAACGAACATTTACCAAACTGAGATATGGTACATGGTCGAAATGGACACAATGTGAGAACAAGAAATTGTTAGAGTTGTTATTGTGTGTGTACTATTGTCTTGGTGCACACAAACAGCTGGCAAGTTCAAAGCATTGTGTTACTAACCGACTAGTGTATCCGATAGTATTTCACTAAGGAAGATTCAAAGCTACAAGCTATCTTTCCTGATGTAATGACAGTTCGTCGGGACTCTCAAGTGTTGCATACATTCATTAATTTCATTCATGTGGGGGATTACAAGAAAAAATAGTTTTATACCGATTTCACGGTTCATTTTTTATAAGTGAAAGACTTGAAAAATTCTCAAAACCATTTTAAGGTGAATGAGAAATTAATTCTAAGTTGTATATGTGAGAAATGTAAGGTTGAAGCAATGAGTTTAAGTAACTCAAAATATTGAATTTGTAAAACATTCTTTGAAAAATGTTAAGGTAATCCAAACGAGACCTGATCATATAGCTTGCATGCTATAACTCTATAGGGGTTCGTTGGGGACGAGTAGAAAAAAACAAAACTCGATGCCGAGTTCGTATGAGCTCGTACGAGCTCGCGACGTACGGACGCGCAACTTGTTGCGGAAACCGAAAGGTCACAACCTTTGGTGACTATAAGGTGTCTTTTGGCCTTGAGACTATCTTTATCCCCAACCCAACCCAACCCAACTTAACAATTAAAAATTATTTCTCTCTCCTCTACCTACACAACTCAATCTTCCAACCCAATTTATCTTTATTCATAACCCAACTCAACTTAAATATTTATTTTATTTTAATTTATTTAAAAATTGCAATTGTGTTCTAAAATATATCAAGTGTGGTCTCTATTTGTAGAGAATGACAAAATACGAATTTTGATATTTTTTTTTTATTTTTTTTAAATACAAAAAAATACACTTGTGCAATAAAAATGGAACAAGTGTCCCATTTCGGTACAAAAACCAGTTGCGACCCGAGGTCACAATGTGACCTGGGTCGCGCGCATCAGTGCCCTTTTCCTTTTTTTTTTTTTATTTTTTTTTGTTTTAATTTTTTTTTTATTTTTTAATTCCGTGACCCCTCCCATTGGGTCACGGATAAAGGTGGCCTGAGAAGCGTCCATTCTCATTCGGGTACGTCCCAAAAGGTGTCTTTTGACACTTAAACCTCTTGAAAGTGTTTTCCTACATTTATAAATATCCACATACATGAAATCATACACAACTTGAAAATTAGAGAGTCTTGCATTATTTTTCAAAGACCATATAGCATATTTTGTTTTTGTTTTTTTATTTTTTTATTTTTTTAATTGAGTCTCGAGAGTTTCAACCAATAGTAGTGTTCACCGAAAACTTGTATATTTGAAGTACCGCTATATTCAAGTCGAAAGTCATTGTATCTTGGAGACGTTTACCGTTAACCGTTGGTATTTTACGGAGTAATTATTCCGTGACTCGATTTTAATTTTTGTCAATCTTCTTCATTTTCCTTCAACCATCTTTTTGATATTCACTAACTACACAAACTAAATACTCTTCCCGGGCAGGTCGAGCTGCTTTTGTCAGCTAGATAGTCGTGAAATCAAACTATTTTAAATTTGAACAGTGGATTCGTGTGAATAATAATCGACAAACAACAGTAATAAAAATAAAAACTTTACAGAGCAATTAAACTCACTTGCCTCTTTCCTGTCAAAAAAACCATTACATTCCAGACAACCGATTCGGCCAGTCACGTGCCACTGCCACAATTAAGAAAAAAAAAAGGTAGCAAAATGACTGAAAAATAAATAAAAACAATGCAACTGTTGGTGCCCACAATCGATGTTAATTACATTTACCACCACCACCACCACCACCTAATCCACCACCTCACAACCAAAACAAAACAAAACCCCCTTTTATTTGTTGTTGTTGTGAAAAAGGGAGCTCTGGTTGCTGCTGCTATTTGCTGGCATCTAATCCAATTCTTGGTCTTCTTCAACCTCCCTTCTGCAGATCTTTTCTGATTCTTCATCGCCCGAGTTCGATCCGGGTCGACCCGGGCAGCAGTTGAGATGTGTACTCGAATCTGACAAGTGAAGGAATAAAAAAAGCCGAAATGTCGGCGCCTGCTGCCTCACTCGAACGCCCTCGTATTGGGAACTCGAATACGGTAATGTCGTAGGTTAAATTTTGTGCTGTAGTTCTAAATTTTATCGTCTGTGTCTGGAGAGAGAGAGAGAGAGGAGAGAATAAGGACGAAAATGGTGTGAATTTTGTGTTAGTCAAAGGTAGTCAAGTGATTGTCGAGGTAAAGTTGAAAGCTTGAAACTGACCTAAATTGGGTTTTGCCCTCTTCTCTTATCCTCAGTTTGTTGGCGGATTCATTTATCTCTGAACGATTTGTACGTTTTGAATTATTTGTAGATATTCAAGAGTGGACATCTGCTCATATCATCTAAAGGTTAGTACTTTCTTACTTGTAGATGATCTTAGGCATTGTGGTGTATGGACTCTAAATCTTAGGCATTGTGGTCTATGGACCTCCAAAAATTTTCTTCAATGTGCCAATATTTCATCTGTCCCTCTATATTTTGCCAGTGTTGGTCAGCCGACTGAAATTCAATATTTGGAATTTGAAATTTTCGCCTATGGCTTGACATTGAGTCCAGGGGACGGTATAGATATCTCTTGAGTCGGGCATGCGTAAGAAAACATTGATTAAACTTGACATATCAGATCAACTGCTTTGGCAGAAACATGATTATAGGCTTGTAATATTCGGCAGGAAAAACTACACTTTGCCTATCTAACTATCCGGAAATTTACACTTTTGCCTACAGAACCTTTTTTTTTTTTTTTTTTTACACTTTGCCTACATAACTTTGTTTTTTTTGTACACTTTGCCATTTCCGGTCACCGCCGACCTCATAAACCAACACGTGGCTTTTGTTCCTTGTTGCCACGTGTGGCCGGCGGTGACCAGAAATGGCAAAGTGTATATAAAATATCAAAGTTAGGTAGCTAAAGTGTAAAAAAAAAAAATGTTTTGTAGGTAAAGTGTAAATTTCCGGATAGTTAGGTAGGCAAAGTGTATCTATTCCTAATAACTTGTAGACATCATTGATTTGCACGATGGTGCGAGTATGCAAATATGTTTAAACAAATTGATGGAAAAGTGGGTGATTTAATTCTAGGCATGTAAATATGCATTATGGAACACTGATTACAAGCAGAATTATTGTCCTCAGCCTGCCTTGTTATTAACAAAATTGTAGTCTATGTGTTCCTCATATTGTTGGTATTTCTGTTTTATTCATTTTTTGTTGCACTTAGCAGGCTTGGGGTGGAAGTCTTGGAAGAAGAGGTGGTTTATCCTTACACGCACTTCTTTGGTTTTCTTCAAGAATGACCCTGTTAGTCCCAACTTTCATCTTCATTTTGTCCATTAAATCAATGTACTATGTATCGATGTTGACAAAGCAAGTTTCTTTTTCATCGTGTACTGAGAAAAGTAGATATTGTGTCACAATTTCTGTTACTTATGTTTACTTGGATTTTAACTTTATTATTTTTTCCTTTAATGTAGAGTGCACTTCCACAGCGCGGTGGTGAAGTAAATTTGACTTTGGGTGGAATTGATTTAAATAATTCCGGGAGGTATGTATAGCTGTATATACATGACCTATTTTTACTCTTCATCTGTCTCAATGTGTGTGTTTACTTGCTATATCTTTGATGCCTTCCTATTTGCAGTGTTGTTGTTAGAGAAGACAAGAAACTGTTGACTGTTCTATTCCCTGATGGACGTGATGGACGGGCATTTACTCTTAAGGTTCATAATAGATCAGATGTTATTTACACAATGCTTTAGTCAAGTGTTCTTTTAGGACATGGGGATAATGAGGATAATTTACCCTGATATTTTGCTTAATTCTAGGTATCAGTTATCTTTAAACTTGCAAATACTCACTTGACATCTGTTACTCTGTTGTGACACGAAAATAACAATGTAGTATGTGTTTTTGGAACATAATTGCCAATTGGTTTCTTGTACAGTGAGCTAAAAGGCAAAAAAATAAAAAAAATAAATAATAATAATAAAAAAAAATAAAAAAATCAGGGTTGTTTTATGAGTAGTTCTAGGTTTTATATATTATTTATATTTAGTCTGGAAGTAATCTGATGCACTCCTATTTCTGTTTATGAACTTCAGGCTGAAACTTCTGAGGACTTGTTTGAGTGGAAAACTGCCCTTGAGAATGCTCTGGCACAAGCCCCCAATGCTGCTCTTGTTATGGGACACAATGGGATATTTAGAAATGATGCTGGTGATTCTATTGAGGGGTCTTTCCATCAATGTTAGCACATACCTTTATTTTTTTGGATGTTCTTGAAATACTGTTTTGCTGCGACATTTCTAGTTGCAATATTTTGATGGAATATCCCTCTGTTTAGGGAGAGAGAGACGCCCGGTGAAGTCTTTGGTTGTAGGACGTCCAATTTTGCTTGCATTGGAAGATATCGATGGTGGCCCGTCCTTCCTAGAGAAAGCACTTCGGTTTCTCGAGAAATATGGTACTTTCTTTTTTTTTTTTT